GGTTTCAATGCAGTTTTCCCAGACCTGGTAGGTCCTCTGGAGGTAGCACCTAGGTGCAGTGCCACCAGCGTGGCCGCGAGTCCTCCAGTGCGTGATCGCCGCAGCCTTTTAAGCCTCACTTCCCTCCCAGCTCTCTCTCCCTCCTCTCCTCCCTCAGGACTGCCCGGGGAGGGTGCGGGTCGCAGCGCGTCGCTTGAGTTGAGCCTTACTGAGTCAGTGCGCTTGTATCTGTGTGCTGGTAGCCCGTTCCTCGCAAGCCGCCTCTACAACAGCCGTTGGCTTGAGCAGTGCTCCTCTTCCTTGTGTCAAGGATGCTGCCCAGGGGCAGCGCCCCGGAGGGCGACTTCAACGACCAGGTTAGTAACCTCTGGTCGTCAATACCACGCAGAGCCCGTGCTCGTCAGCCGTGGGAATCAGCCTCATGGTTTGCGCATAATGCGAGCTGGCCCTGGGAGCTGTCAGTGACACGCCCCGCTTCTGTGGGTCCCGTGCCAGTGCTGCACGAGTCCAGCCTGATGCTCAAGCGGAAAGCTTCCGCTAGCATCCAGCCGCTAGTAGCGGAAGAGATGGCCTTCGCACTTAAGGTGTGCTCCCGTCGTACAGCGTACGAAGGCGACCGCCGCGACAGCGCGGTTTTCAAACTCACGGCGTTAGTAAAAGCATGGCCAGACGCCTTCGAGATCGTCTCACAGTGTGCCGACGAGGTTGGTCGCGTCGACCTGGACGAGCTCGACTTCAGCATCGAGGCAGCGCTCAGCTACAAGGCTACCAACACAGTTGTACGCCGCCTCAACTCTCTCAGCAATTTTGTCCAGTGGGCAAACACGCAAAACCCAGTGGTGGTGCCCTTCCCAGTGTCCGAGCGCGCCACTTGGCGCTACATCCAGTGGATGATGCGCAATGGGAAAGGGGCTAGCAGCCCCTCGAGCTTGATTCAGAGTCTGAACTGGTGCTCGGGAGTTTTCGGTCTGTCCTTCGAGTCGGAGGTGACCAGCTCCCGTATCGTGGGCCTTTGTAAAAGCACGGAAGCCAGCGCGCCTCCGCCGAGACGGGCTCCTGCCCTTAAGGCCTCCGAGGTGGCCACTCTAGAGCGCATCGCGCTGTCTGGCTCCATGTACGACAGTGTCGTGTCTGGGGGCTTGTTGTTCATGCTCTTTGCATGCGCCCGCGCCAGCGACGCGGCTCGAGTTGGCTCTTTCTCCGTCGAGCTCCCAGAGGACCCCTGCGCCACAGTGTGGATGCAGGCGAACGTGCAGAAGGCGAAAACCGCCGTAGGGGCTAGAAGCCGCCTGCTGCTCCCGCTGGTAGCCCCGGTGGTTTTCTTCGAAGAGTCGTGGGTGAGCCAGTGGCTCGCCAATCGAGAAAAGCTGGGTCTCAGCTCCAGCGGAGAAATCCCGCTAGGGTCAGTGATCCCTGCCTTCACATCAGATGGTGATCTAGCCGATCGCCCGATGAATTCTCAAGAAATAACCTCCTGGCTGCGCAGCGCGCTGTCCAACGCTCGATGCGAAGGCGCAGAGCGCCTCAGCAGTCACAGTCTCAAGGCGACGTGCTTCACCTGGGCCTCGCAAGCCGGCGTCAACCTGGACCTGCGCAGACTCCTCGCCCACCATGTGCACGACAGTGCTCGGAGCACTGAGACGTACAGCCGCCACGTGCTCATTCCCGCAGCGCGGGCTCTGGAAGAGGTTCTTATCGCCATCAGAGATGGCGATTTTCTTCCCGACCAGCCCCTCGGGAAACAGTTCTCGCTGCCTAGCAGTCAGCTTAACCTGAGGCGAGAGAACCTTAGCAAGGCTTCTCACAGGAACACCTCCTCGGGCTCAGCACCCCCAGTGGGGGTGGAAGCCCTGAAGGTCTCGCAACAACAGGAGCTCAGCGACACAGAAGACAGTGCCAGCGACACTGATAGAGAAGACGAGTTCGTCGCCGAGCCCGAGCTATAGAGGAGAACCCTCGCCTTAGAAGGGAGGTGCAGTGCACTCTCCCAGAATGGGCCTCCTCGTGGTGTCATCTTGCCAGTGGCAAGCTGCACGCGAGCCGTGGCGAGAACGCCAAGAGGCTTCTTTGCGGTCGCTGCTTGAATGAAAAGTACATGAGTTGCGAAGTTCGCAACCTCGCACCAGGCCGACCGCACTGCAAGACTTGCTGGAGCAGCAAGTCTTTCGATGCAGAGTGAAAAAGAGAGCGAAATCATGAGCCTGTCTGTCCTAGTAGGGTCCTGCAGTCTGCACAGTGTCTCTGTCTCTCTCTCTTTTTCATCTTCGCTTGCCCTGCAGGACGATGGCGAACCTCGTCGACAGTGTCGCGGAATTCTCGAGCAGAGCTCAACAACTCCTAGGAGACGCCGAGTCGGCGAAGCTCTTTGCGGCAGACATCCGCACTTTCGGCACGTTAGCGTACAGCGTCGCTGACCAACCCGACCGCATCAGCGATGCGAAGTTTGAAGAACTCCTCAAGAAGGTCTTCAAGGCGACAGAGCCGTCTTTGGGCACTAAGGCCGCAGCGCGGCGCCTGGCCTTCGAAAGCCTGACCTTCAGTATCCAGGATCTGAAGATGAGGGTAGAGGGTGACAGCGTCACCCCCAAGAGCCTGCCCATGCACGAGCGCGAGGAGCGCCGCGCCGCGCAAGTCGCGCGCCTCCGGGGCGTCGTCATCGAAGGTGACTACGACCCCGCGCACAGCCTCGTGGACAAAGCCGCGCTCATGCTGCAGGACGGCATCGTTCGTTACATCCCACCGTCGCAGTGCGTCAGTCGGGATGCCGAGATCGCCTCAGTGAGGCGTGACAAGGACTTCCTCTCCCTAGAGTCTGGGGAGATCACAGTAAAGAAAAAGGAGCACAGCGTGCACGTCGAGATCGGCAATGAGCTAAAGCTCACGCAGGCGCTCATGCGCAGGGGTCTCGCGCTCGACAGAGTCGGCGTGTTGGATTTCACGATTCACGAGAGACTCGTGCGACAGTTCTTCTCCGTCCTGAACCGGCCAGCGCCGCCGGGGATGGAGCGCGGCAACAGTTGGCACGTAGTACGGGCCGATAAAGAACTGTGGACGCTGCTCGCGCGAGAGTGTCGCAAGGGTTGCAAACCGGACAAGGATGGTAAGAGGCCACTAGATTCTCTAGTAGAGAACATGTGGTCCGATCCTATCGTTACGCTGCACCTCCTCCCCTCGCCAGTGGCAGACCGGGGTCGCAAGGGCAAGGGCCGCAGCTTTACGCGCAGCGAAGAAGACCGCAGTCGTAGCACGACCGGCAAAGGCAAGAAAGGCGGCAAGAAAGGCCGCGGAAAGGGCAAGGGTAAACGGCACGAGAGCGCAGAGCGCTCCAGGCCGCCGAGCATGCCAAAGGAGCTTCGCCACTTGAACAGCGTTTCCAAGTCGGGCAAGCGCTTGTGTTACGGTTTCAACCTGCAGTGCGGGTGCGACCTTGAGACCTCCGGCTCCCCCAAGCAGTGCGACAGGGGGTTGCATCAGTGCATGAGCTGTGGCAGCTCCGAACACGGAGCCGCAGATTGCCCCAAGGACGCAGGGGCCGCCTGACTAGGCCCCCCTGCCCTGAGCGCGGCAGAGCCGCAACAGCCCTTGGCCACTGAGCCCGCAGCTCCTCGCCCAGCAGCGCTGGGCCCTCCTGCCACCGCACCAAGCGCAGGGCAGAGCCCTGACCCTCCTACCACTGTCGTTGCACCCGCCTGCAACAAGTAAGCCAGGACGTGCCACAGCAGCGCCGTCACCTGAAGCAGGGATCGCGGCAGACGCCGACCCCCCAGCGCTCCTGTTGTCTGAACAGCACAGCGTGCCGGCAGACAATGCTCTGGGCACTTTTCCCCCTGAGCCTGCTCCGCGAGCGGCCCCTCGTCCGCCACTGTTCGTGGAAGTGTTCTGCGGCCTCGGTCGCCTTAGTAAGGCGGCCATCGAGAAAGGTTTCTCGAACGTCGCAGTGGATCACAAGACCAAGGCCAGAGGCCTCAAGGTCTTGCAGCTCGACCTTTGTACGCAGCTGGGTCGCAACTTACTGAGAGCAGTGCTCTCACACCAAGACTTGCGATGGGTCCACTGGGCCCCGCCGTGCGGCACCTTTAGCAGAAGCTCCTGGGCTCAAGTCGTTTGTAGCATTTTTGGGGTGGGGTAGCGGCAGTTCCACGGCCAACAGTGTCGTGAGGAGTGCTCCTCCTGTGGGGGGCACTGCAAGGCTGTTTCTTTGAACGGGGCTTTGGGCCTAACAGGTTCCTGCGAACGGGTCTCCTTCGACGTTGTAGTCAGATGCCATGGTTTCCAATGCACATGCTTTTCTGTCTGTGGCTTAGGACGTCCTTTGTCCAAGGCAGTGAGTTCAGCGCACATCCTTGCAACATCAACAGGTCGGAGCGAGCAAGCACAGCTGAGCCAGTTGACTCAACAGGCCACTCCTTGTGCAACATTTGTGCTTTGCAGACAGATTTACAACAGCATGAGTTTTCTTCTTGCCAATTTGTTGCATCGCAAAGTGCAGCCTTTAACAGCTTGTTTGATTCTAGGGGGCTCGTACTTGCAGCTGACCGCGGGCAACAGCAGTGGCCACCTTGGGCCCATTTTATTTTGAGCCGACGTTTGTTCATGCAAACACCAGGTCACTCTGCCGCCGCCGGTGTCAGGGACCCACCTGTACCTTTGCCTGGCACCCTGCGCTCCAGCGCTCCTGAATTGTCTTTGCAGCGGGGGTGTCACGACAGATGGCCGGAAATTTCGGCCGACACAACCTATGAGGGATTGTGCGAGCAAGCCAGCCAAGGACTCACCCTTGCATGTTTGCGTAAGAGCACACCTGGGGATTCTTGCAGGAGCAATCATGCATCCGGCTACTGGGCCGCCAGGTCGTTGCCCAAGCACTGCCTTGTGCCCCAGCTTTTGCAACATCTCTTGAAGTTCTACGCAACTGCACACCTGGGACTTCTTATGGATTCTCAAGCGTGTCCTCTAGAGTACCTGGTAAACCCTGAGAGCTTTGACGGAACGGTGTTGGCATGGCCTCCCGTGCGGATCGATCTCGCTCTCCAGCACGTCGAGAGATGCAGGCTAGTGCAGAAGGCTCCCGCCCTACTGGACCATCCGGTCCGCCGGCACCCACGCCGGCTGGTGTCATGGGGGACAGATTGGCGGATCGGCCGACAGGGGGAGACGAGCATCCCGCATTTACCACTAGTGGTGTGGCTGGAGTTGCACCGAACACGCCGGCCGCCTTATTCCTGGCAGCACCGCCACATGAGACAGCACCTATGCTCAGCATCACGCTGCCTCACAATCTGCAGTTCCGAGTTGAGGTCATTATCAGGACGGCACCCAACGAACGTCAACCTGCGGACCGAACTGGCTAGAGCTGGCAGATGGGTTGCGGCACGCACTGATCATGCATATTTTCCGATGAGCCGATGCCAGAGTGCACCATGCCTTGAGCTGCTGGATCAAAAGCTTTCGCTTGACAGGTCTGTGCCTTGTAAGCTGCACGCGCCCTTACCCAAGCCGTCTAGGCATGTATCTTGCATTTGCTTAACGTGGCAAGCACATTTGCCTACCTCAGGCAGAGGCAAGCAAGACCAGGACCAGCCCAGCTACCGTATCCGAATCAGGCCGTCGGGTGCTTCGTCTAGTGCTGGATGCTGGGATTGTTGGACCTGTTCTTCCTGCATTGCAGGGGTCTGCGATTTTACACGGAACTTCTTCCGAAGTGCCAACAGCTGCCCCGGCCAACGGGGCCCACGCAAGGTGTGTCAACTTTGCTCTGGCCTATGCTCGTGTTTAGCTGCCAGCTGCAGCAGGCGATGCTCGCAGACAGGCCCGACGACTGGCTCGTGCCCAGGTTCGCCGCCTTATGGCTCGGAAGGTGTACTTTTGTCTGTGCTCGTCAGGGCTGCAATGCTTCTGTCTCAGCTGCCCCAACTGATCGCTCCGACTCTGCGAGCACTGGTGTGCTTCCCCATGGTACCGGCCTTGCAGTCACTAAATACCTTCTGCCCAAGCTTGGCTCGGCATAGCAGGCAGCAACAAGATTCCGCCTTCAGCTGGAGCCTGTGCCCACACATGTGCCACAGTCGGGTTCCTGGCAGTCAGACGGTTGATCTTGAGCCTTCGGCCATGCGTGCATTGCTTGCATTTCTGTGCTCAGCTGCTGCCCTTAGGAGGCTTCACCGGGCACAAATTACAAGGTCAAAGCAAGCGCGGTTCCTGGCTACAGTGCTGTTGCCCCCTACCATACTGGCAGTGCTTTCATTAGCTTGCTGTGGGCATCTGTTTGACACCAGGTGTGATCGACTTGCACAGCTTGGACTGACTAGGCTGCTGCCTTTGCTGACTTCATTTTGTGGGAGTGTGCTCTTTCTTTGGCTAGACCGATCCAGGATGCGAGGTCATCGCCTCACACACCGACTCTGCAAAGGTATATACCGACGTAGAATTTTGAAGTGTGGCACCTTCCGAGCTTGGAGAAATGCGCTGGCTCACAAGTTTCCTGTTCCGGCAGGCTCTCGGTACGGCATGCAGAGTGGATTGTTCAACAATGCAGTTGTGATGCTCTCTCTTTTGCTCCAGCATCTCTCTCTGGTCGGCCGTTTGTGTTGCACATGGTGGGTAAGGCCAAACAGGCTTCTCCATCGGCGGCTTCGCGCCCACGCTCTTCTAGGAGTGCTCTGGCTGGCCATTCTCGCCCTCGGGCGAAGCCTAAGGTGCCGACCAGGAACAGGACGGAAGCTGCTTCCCCCAAGGTGGCAGCCAAGAAGGCTTCGGCAAAGAAGGCCTCTGCAAAGTCTTCCTCCAAGCCTTCCGCTAAGCCTTCGTCCAGGCCTCGTAGACGACCGGCAGCTACTGCTCCTTGCTGCTCTTCAGACACTACTTCATCGGACAGTTCCTCATCGGACACCTCCAGCACAAGCACAGTGGCAACCAGCCCCAGTTTCAGCTTGGGGCGTGACAGTGACAGTATGCAAGCCTTGGCGCCTCCCATTGAACCACCTGACCCAATGGAAGATGTGGTTGTCGAGCAGTATGGCTTTGCTACTGCCTTTGCCGAAGCCTTCGGCAGGGCTGTTGGTAGGCAGGTTCCGCCCTCTGTTGTCCACGACGAGGTGGATAGCGATGAGATTACTGAGCTCTCCCTTGATCCAGCAAAGCCCGTCACTGAGACTGTTCCGGGTATCACGACAGCATCTGCCTCTCAGTCAGCCTGGGATACACCAGCTGCTGCGGCACCTGCCGCCTGCACACGCAAGACCATGGCTGTGGCCAAAATGTTGGTGCGAGCCAAGCTGCGATGTCCCCAGTGTTACGGCTATCTTCGAGGATGCAAAACGGGCTGCACGGGCGTGGCTCCCTTTGAGTGAAGATCCATTGTTTCTCACGACGCGGGGCATGCCGACTTTGCAACCTGTTGTGCCTTTAGGAAGCACGCTACCACTGCAAACACAGGACGGCATGAAAATAGGCACTGATTGCTTGCATTTACGAGATGACTGCTCGTGGCGGTTTCGACCACCTGACCTTGCTTTCATCTGTATGACCGTTTCATGTTGTGCTGCACTGCTTCGGTCGGCTGTTCATGTTCTGGCTCAGCACTCACCATTTGTTTTCCATTCGGTACCGAGTTTCATATCAAGATGCAGGCTTGCTTCCAGCATTGACTCGTGTGCCACCTGGCTGTGTCTTTGTCTCAGCCAGGCCATGGTGGCTGCCATTTCCTTCAGGTGCGATCCGCATGCTCGCCAGTTCCGCTTTAGCACAAGTGCCGTCACATCCCATTGCCAGTCACGACGAGCAATGAGCCCTGCCGGTCCCAAGTCCGGCACGAGTTCCCGACTGCACCTCAGCCCTTACTGGCTTGGGGTTCTTATTTTCATGACTCTTGCATTAGGAACTCGAGGAGCGAGGGTTGCCGAGGCTGTCGCAACCTCGGCGGGAGCAGGCCATCAGCTCCCAGCAGGTCCCACTACACCTGCGAAGCACAGCGACGTGCAGGTGCCACTGTCAGGACCCCGGAAAAGGGCCTTTCGCAGAGCCCAAAACCGGGCCACACGAGACGGTGCCACTTGGTACCGAGGACGTTGGTTCACCAAAAAGCAACTACAAGCAGCAGGCTCCTCACCATCGCATCCCAAATCAGTCAGACCGCGCCCTGCTGCCAGGTCATCGTTCCCTTGCAAGCTTCCGGCGTGGCCGCCAGCCGCAGATGATGCAGGAGCGACCTTTCGCAAAAGCCCACAACAACTGTGTGTCTTTAGTCTTAACATCGGCAGTTTGACTGCCGAAGTATACGACGAGTTCTGTCGCTGGCTTCAGCTTCCGAGCACCCTAGCCACAATTGACGTGATCTTCCTCCAGGAGACCTGGAGGGGCTCCAGCGATTATGTGATACCTGGCTGGTGCTGGCTCACGTCAGGCCAGAAACCCCTGCCGGGGCAGGGGGTAGCGATCTTAATCAACCGCCGGCTGGTTGACCCAGCCCTCATCAGGTATAGAGAAGTACGCATTGGAAGAATTCTCCATGTGCAGATCCCCCTTTGCAACGAGCCTCAAGGCCGACTTCTTAACCTGATTTGTGTTTACATACCTGCAAAAATTTCTGAATCCAAACAGGTCTATGAAAAACGGGCGGCGATTTGGAATGCCCTAGACGCTCTTGTGCAGGCCCTTCCCAGCAGACACTTCATGTACCTTGCTGGTGATTTCAACACCGATTTGCTTCAGGAGCATCCTTATGTTGGAGTGACACACACCCACAAGGGCAAAGAACGTGCGGTTGCCCAAGATCAGCACATTTTTCAAAATCTCCTTCGGACACATGGCTTGCGAGCACTCAATTCGTGGGACAATCAAAGTACTTATGTCGACCCACATGGTCCTGCCTCTAGGGTGGACTTTGTCCTTGCGAGAACCATGCAGGCCACGGGTTGTCCCGTCACCGTTCAGCCACAGATCCAATTTGCATCCTGGCGCTCCGGAGCCAGGCATATGCCTCTTTTTGTCGCTTCCGGGATCGTACTCCAGCCAAGCTTGCCATTGATCAGGATGCTTTGTGCCGGGCCTGTCGCCCCGGCCCTGAGCATGAGATACTTCGCCAGGCCTTTGCTGCCAAGCAACACCTTTTTACAGCTGATTTGCTACCCTCCCAAGCGGAGGCTGAGCTTCGCAACATCTGTGTCAAGGCTTTTCCTTTGCAGCGAAATCGAACCATTGCTCTGCAGTGGCAAAACCCGGAGGTTGGTCAGGATTTGTCTCTCACTTGGCAACTGCGTCGCAGCCTCAAGCAGCAAGCCGCCTTTTGGCCGCATCTGTCGTCTACGTTTAGAGCATGGAGGTTGCATGTACAGCTAAGCCGAAGAGTCAAAGAACTGAAACGCAACAGCCGTCGTAGGCGACGCGAACATTGGCAAGCACAGCTTTCGGAGGCGGAGCAAGCAAGCAAAGCTGGCAACCCGCTGAAATTCTTTCAAGTTGTGCAGAGGCTGGCACCCAAGCGAGCACATGCACGAGTTCAGATCCGTGATCCCAAGGGTCAGATCCTCACTCCAGCCTTGGAAGACAAAGCCCTTGCAGACTACTGGCAAGGTATCTACTCCAGCACCAGTCTGCCTTATCAGGCTGTTTGTCTTCGTGAGCCACTCCTTGTTACCCAGCAGGAGCTCCATGATGCTCTCCGAGGCCTCAAACAACGAAAAGCTGTAGCCAAAGATTTGGCTCCGGCTGCTGTCTGGAAGGCCCTTGCCTCTCTTCTGTCTTGCTATCTGAATGCCGTGCTGAGCAAAATCTGGCAGCCTGGTCCGCTTCACATTCCATCTGTTTGGGCAAGGTCGGATCTACATTTTCTCTTGAAGCCTCAAAAAGTCACGCGACGGCCGCAGGATTTGCGCCCAATTGCCCTCCAATCGGCGGCGGCAAAGGCAGTCCTGACAGTCTTTAAGCAACGCTTGCAGCCCAGCTTCTTGGAGGCTATGCGCACCCTCCCTCAGTATGCCTACGTGATGGGAAGGTCCACTCACGAGGCTATCTCGCGGGTAGCGGCACATTGCAAGGAAGTCCGTGACTTGCTCAGGTCTCAAAGCTTGACGGTTTTCGATCGATTTGAAGGTGCACGTTACACCCCGTGTATTGGTGGGGCCCAACTTGGGCTCGATCTGTCGAAAGCTTTCGACCTTTTGCCCCGAAGGACCTTGCAGCTCTTGCTGCAAGACACAGACCTTTCTCTTGAAGAACAGCAGGTTCTACTTGAATGGCATCAGGCCGGCAAGTATAGGATACATAGCAAGGGCAACGAGCATCCGGTCTTTGTTCGGCTTGAATGTGGGGTTAGGCAGGGATGCGTGTTGTCTCCTTTCTTGTGGGGGTTGTTCACAAAGCACATTCAAAAACGCCTTGATGAGGCCAACGGCCCAGGATGGACTGCCCGGCGTGGCACTCTCTTTGCGGATGATATGCATTTTAAATGGGTTTTCCGCACAGAGGCTGAATTGCATAGCATCCGTCTTGAGGTTCTCAACATCTTTCGCATACTGCGTGAGCTTGGAATGCAGGCCAACCCCGATAAAAGTACCTTTATCATAGGTGCCAGAGGACAGCAAGCGCGAAAGTGGGTGAAACGCTGGGTCCGCAAGGACTCCGACGGTCGCAAGCAGTTCCATTTTGGAGGTGCCAAACAAGATAGAGTCCCAGTGGCCAGTCAGCTTACCTATCTTGGAGTTGTTCTCTCTTATCGGAATTTTGAGTTGGCGACTGCTAACCATAGGATAGGGGTAGCCGCAGGCCATCGTGATCGGCTCCGCCGAATTTTGCATGCCAGACGTGTGCTCAGTGTGGGGCATCGCCTCCGATTGTGGCGCATTATGGTGCAGACGTCGCAGTTATATGCTGTTGAAGCTGTTGGCCTGACCGCTGAGACGGCCAAGCTCCTTCACATCCAGACTATGCGGCATATGCGAGCGATTATTGGCTCTGCCAGGCACGTGGATGGGGATTCGGATCAGCTTTTCATGCTTAAGCATTGCATTCCTGATTGTGTAGAGCTGGTTAAGACAAAGTGTGACGCTTTTTGCCAACGATTGGCACGAACTGAGCTTGAGATCCCATGCTTTGGTGCCGAGGGCATTTTGCAATGGGCACAGTTTGTGCGGGACTCACTGCCGCCACCCTACATTGCCAAGCCTCGGTCTCAGCCGACTCCTGCATCTTCAGCCTCTGTACCCACCCCCGTCCCTGAGGATTCGGCACCCAGTGCTCATCCCAAGCCTGTACCATTGCCTCCGCTGTCCAGTGAGCGTGCTGTTGCTGGTGCAGTCGTTGCTTCTGCACCCTCTGCTCCTACAATGGCCCCGTCCTCGGGACCACCAGCACCCTCTAAGCCCGAGAACGGCTTCTCTTGCGCGATCTGTGATCAGGTCTTCTCTAACCTACACGATCTCAAGACACATGAGGGCAAGGCCCACAAGAAGGTCCGGGATAAAATTGCCCAAGTTCAGCACACTGAGCATGGCTACAACGGCTTTCCCATATGCAGGCACTGTGGTGACAAATTCTCCAAATGGAGTGCGCTTACAAGGCATGTTACCAGGCAGGGCTGCCCTGCCCTTGAACGTGGTGAGCCGGAAGCATATGCAAAGTCGCAGGCTGAGGCTATGGTGACGCCCCACGTGCAAAGGCCACACATTATGCAAGCCATACGTGAAAATGGCTGGGAATCGCTCTTGACCAATGCTGATCTGTGTGTCGACCTCAAGCAACGGTGTGCCTTGTGCTATCAATGGGTCGTCTCGGGGAATGGAGTTAGGAAACACCTTCGCCTTAAACACCCTGAGCACTTTCTCCTTCACGAAACTGCTATCAGCCAACAGACTGCTCTGTGGAAGTCCTTCATAGCCTCGCCGTGTCAAGCTTGCGGCACCCACATTGTGGATCGTCGCCAACATGCAGGCAGCTGTCTTGTTCTTCTGCAATTGATGCTCATGTCGTGCATGTTGGTTGGACATTGCAAATCCAGCAAAGCTCCGGCAGGATCCAGTGCTTCAAGAGAAGCAGCTGTGGGGGCATCTTCTGCCCTCCCTGGAGGAGGCGGTTCAGGATTGGCCAATGAATCACGACGACAGCAAAGGGGACAAGCCATCGGAGACAAAGTCGAAGGACCTGAACAAGCGCCGTCGAACAAACGACAATCCAAGCTTCAGTTCGGACAAGCAAGATCGCAAGGGCAAAGGCAAGGGCAAGGCCAAATCCTCGAAGGATGCAAGCAAGATGGAACTGAAGGAGGCGGTTCAGCTTATGGCGGCCATGACTCTGCAGCTAGTGGATCAGGCGAGCAGGGTTCAGCTGGACACAAGCTTTCTACTTACCATGAAGAACGAGCCGGGTCCGGAAAACTTGTTACCCATCATGTACAAGGTGTGGAAAGCCTGGAAAACCATGCAAGAACAGGAGCCAAGCAAGCTGGACAAACCTCTTCGTTGCAGTATGATGATCTCCATGCTTCTGGAAATCAAGGCCAGAGCCAAAAAGCTGCTGGACGACTCCGAGCAGCAGGAACGCATGAAGGCTCTCGAGTGGATCGACTCCGAGGGTCGATGGGTCTATCGCAAATGGTCTCCAACTCAGGAGGCTCTGTACCTCGATCAGTCCAGGAAGCCGATTCCTCAAACAGTATTCATCGAGCAGCTGGATCAGGCCATGACTTTGCTTGTACGTCCGGAAAACATGCCGAGATTTCAGTCGAGGGAACTGGCCCCGGAGATGAAGGGCTACGCGGTGACCTTTCATGTGGACATCGGGCTCCGCTCGGAAGCAGAGCCTCTGTGGCAGATTTTCAACACATGGGTGGACCTCCAGGCCTGGGTGTTGGGGGCGGTGAGAATTCGGCCCCATCGGCTGAAGCGACCGCCCGCGGCCGATCGTCTATCGGTCTGGCTTGGCAATCACTGAGGCTTCAGAATCCTAGCAATCGTTGTTATGCTAATTCTGTGGTGCTTGCTTGTGGTCGATGGCTGCAGCCTTCACCTCTGTCTGCTGCTGCCGCAGGTGCCAATCCTTTCATGAAAGCGCTTGCTGCACTACAAGGCTTAAGCTTCTCTCGTGATTATGGCCTCTTCAACATGCTCTCTTGGAGGTCGCTGTTTACGGGGTGGAGCAGGCCGAATCAACAGCATGATGCGACGGAATTCCTTCTTCATCTGCTGCGCCAGGGGTCTGATGCTCCTTGGGTGAGCCGCTGGCTGGCTGGTACACAACTAGGCGACCGCTTCGAGGTTGAGGATTCGGGCTCCAATGTCATCTTGATGCCTATTGCAGGTGCTGGCGATGCTACAAGGTACACTCTCCAAGAGTGTGTCCAAGCCTGGCATATGCAGCCTTCGCAACTCTGGGAAGGAAAAACAAGTCTTTATTGCCTCAGTGAGTTCGAAACTCATGTGTGCATTGTGTTGCAACGCTTCCACGTTGGTGCTACTGCGATCAGCAAGTGCCACACTCCGGTGCAGGTGGATTCTACATGTGAGTTGCCGGTGTATCGTGCTGGAGCTGTTATGTGGCAGCCCTTTCATGTATGTGCAGTGACTTATCACATTGGCGAGTTGCCGACCAGTGGTCACTACAGAAGCATTCTTTACTTGAATGATGGGCTGCAGCTTGCAACTGAAGACAAAGTGAAAGCTAAGAAACTGAGTGCGAAGGATCGTAGCTTAGGCAGTGCTGGTGCTTACATTGTGTACTTGTCCTCAAATCCTTGATTGTTGCTTTTGCATTGCATCGTACTCGTGTGTTTCACTGACGGCTCGCTGACACTCGTGTCGGGGCGCCATGCTGGCACTCGTGCCGATGGCTGAATGTGTGCGTAGATGTACACAGTCGCTTGTTACATGTAACACACGTGTAACATGTAGTGACCGGGTCCAAAAGGACTTGTTCTTGTGCCACTTGCGCGCAAGGTGGAGACCGCAACTCTCGCCCGCGTTTTCAAAGTCAAAAAGTCACCTTTAGCAGAGCTAGAGAGATTCCCAGGCCGGGAGCGCCGGGCCCTTTGCGCAGCGAATCGCGCCCAGCGGGCCTTAAAGGCCTCCGCGGAGCAGACTCAGCACGAGTTCGCAGCGCGAACAGCCTAGTTGCCTTCATGGCACAGTGTTGCCACTCCCTATCTCAGCGCGGCGTTTGCTGGTCCATAGAAAATCCAGCTCGTAGTCTCCTGTGGAGGATGCCCTGCCTCAGAGAGGCCTTGCAGTCAGCCCACAGAGTGGAGTTTGACGCGTGCATGTTCGGAAGCATGCGCCGCAAGCGTACTGCAATCCTCTCAAACTTGGATTGGTTCTCCGGTCTAAGCAGGGACTGCGACGGAGGCCACAAACATCTGCCCTGGGGCAGAGCCTCAGTGGATGGTTCCACAGTGTGGTCTACCTCTTTAGAAAGCGCCTACACCGCTCAGCTGAGCTCGGTCTGGGTCTCCCTCGCGGCAGACCAATGCGCAGCAGCACTCCAGGCAGCGCCTCTCAGCCGCAAGCGTCTGCGACGCCTGCGCTACGAGCCAGACTTCAGTGACAAAGTCACTCTCGAAGGCCCCGCAGCGCGGTGCTTTCGAGGCTGGAAGACTCCCCAGAAGCTACCACAATCGTGGTCTTGCTTCCCAAAAGGCTCTAGGCTCATCCAGTGGATCGAAGCCTCCCAGAAAGCAATCGTCGCCATCCCGCTGCAGCCACTGCACTGGGTGCGCAGAGCGCATCTCATAGATCACCCAGCCAGGGACATTGAGGCAGTGCCTCTATCCCTCAAGCGCGCCATCTCTGCCGAAGTGCATGAAGACACTGTCCTGCTGGCCAAGCGCCGCACATTGGCATCGATGCATATCTCGAGAACTTGCACAGAGTGTCAAGCCCTCGAGGCCGGGGCACGTTCTTCGATTGACGCTCAGGTGAACAGCGTCACCAAGCCCAAGCAGACAGTAGCTTTAGCAAAGCTTCTGAGTGAAATCGACTTCCCGGACAGGACATTGGCCAAGCAGGTGCGGGAAGGTTTTCCCCTGCTTGGCTGGATACAACCCAGTGGGCTGTGGCCAGTGCAGATCCTGCCTCCTTCTCTAGATGAGAAATCAATACTGGAAAACGCCCATAGTATAGGTATGCGCGGCATTCGCAGCGCGCTGCGCCCCTCGCAGGACGGGGTCTCGGACAAGGTCTGGGAAAGCACAATAGAGGAAGGCCAGCAGGGCTGGCTCTCTTTGGAGGACTTCTCGCCAGGAAAACTGCACGAGACGATAGTATCGTCTCGCTTCGGCGTTGTGCAAAAGGGCAAAGTGCGCCCCATTGATAATTTTAAGAGCAGCTTTATCAACAGCTGCTGCGGGACTACAGAGAAGGTCCAAGTCGACAGCATCGACGAGCTCCTCGCCGTGTGCCTCGAGTGGCTGCGCCAGGGTGTGCCCGCAGAGCAGGCCCACCGCATCGTAGGTAGGACCTGGGACCTCAAGAGTGCCTACAAGCAGCTTGCAGTGCAGGCTGCACACAAGAAATTTGCGTGCATCGTCATGGTGGACCCACAGAGTGGGAAGGTTAAAATCGCCCACCTACACGGCATGCCTTTCGGCGCAGTGGCCGCCGTGCACGCCTTCCTCCGCTGCAGCGAGGCGCTGAAAGCCATCGGCCGCGAGAAGCTTGCTTTGGTAATGACGAGCTTCTTCGATGACTTCACAGTTCTTACGCGCAGCGCGCACTCGAAGCTCGTCACTTTGGCAGTGTCCAATCTTTTTAACAAGCTGGGCTGGCAAGTGGACACAGAGCCCAAGAAGAACGCCGACTTCAGCGAAGTCTTCGACGTGCTAGGCGTGCGAGTCGACTTGTCTAAGCAACACCTTGGAGAAATCTCCGTCAGCAACAAGCCGACGCGTGCAGCAGAGCTGGGGATGGTCCTCAGCGAGGCCCTCGCCCGCGGCAGCATGTCCCCCCTGGAAGCGCAGAGCCTGCGCGGCAGGCTCATCTTCGCTGAGCAGCAACCCTGGGGCCGCAACACCCGCATGGCAGTGATCTGCGTCGGCGACGTCCTTGGGGATGGACCAGAGCAGGTCCCCCTCACAGAGCAGCAGTGCCAAGCCATGGCGTTCCTGCTGCAACGAGTCGTGCACGGACCGCCTAGGACAGTGTCCATCCATGCGCGCAGGAAGGTGCACCTGTATATCGACGGGGCCTGCGAGTGGGAGACCCCGCGACTGGTGCCCAAGTGTGGCCTCGGAGCAGTGCTCATTGGAGAAGGCATCGCCTTCACCTGGGGGTTGCAGATCAGCAGCCAGGTTGCAGCCCAGTGGGTTGCCAGGGCACAGAAACAGCAGCTGGTCTATGAGTGCGAGCTGTTGCCCTATTTGCTTAGCCTTCAGCTGTGGGCAAAGCATATAGCAGGCAGTGACCTGTTCGTCTGGATAGACAACGACGCAGCGCGTACTTCCTTGCACAAGGCCTTCGCACGGAAGGTAGAAGGCGCAGCGATAGTCTCGCAAGCGGTGGATTTTGAAGAGTCTCTGCAGTGCAGGGCTGCTTTCTTCCGAGTCCCGACAGACAGCAACATCGCTGATGGCCCCAGCAGAGACTGGTGGGAAGAGACTCAGAGGCTAGGCGCAGCGCGCCAATACCTGCCGCCCAACGCAGTGGCGTTGGCTTTGTCACTCGGCGCGGACTGAATGGGGGGTGAGTAAGGCTTCGAGTGCCTTCAAGGGGGGTGAACCAGTCGTTCGCCTTACCATCGACCAGCGGTCGAGTTTTTCCGTCAAGATGCCAGTGGCATCGTTTCTTCAGTGCCCGAAGATCGGGCCCGAACTGACCCCCCATGTCCGCTAGGAGAAAAAAGAGAGAGTGCTTTGCACAGGGTTCCTCTGCAGCGCAGTTAGGGTTTCCCAAACGCGCGCTAACGGAAGTTTCGTTGGAAAATAAGCATCCATCATGCGTGCGTGAATGGGTTTTATTTTCCGCCGAAAGTGTAGACAAAGTTTGTCGGAAAAGGAAAACAGTGTTTTCACTTGTGTGTGAGTGACACTAGACAAGCTTTGCCGTGCAGCTTTCGGCTTGAAGTTGGATCTGTGATCCAAAAAGTTTTATCCCACCCACCACACCCTGTATAGTATGCGGGGTCTGGGACACCGCATAATCAGCAGAGCTGCCAGGAGCAGCGCTCCAATGTTCTCTCTAGCAGAGAGGCGTCAGCACAGAGTGCGCTCTTGTACATAGGCCGTAGGCCGTCTGATTACAGAGTAGTAACTGGTAGCTGCAGTGACCCAGTCGGTCAGAGAATGTTTCACCTTATTGTCCCGTTGTACGGGTTACTCCCTTGTCGGGGGGGGTGAACCAGTCGTTCGCCTTACCATCGACCAGCGGTCGAGTTGTTCCGTCAAGATGCCAGTGGCATCGTTTCTTCAGTGCCCGAAGATCGGGCCCGAACTGACCCCCCATGTCCGCTAGGAGAAAAAAGAGAGAGTGCTTTGCACAGGGTTCCTCTGCAGCGCAGTTAGGGTTTCCCAAACGCGCGCTAACGGAAGTTTCGTTGGAAAATAAGGCTAGGTAAGACAGTTGCCAACGATGTGAACATCCTCGGCGTTCCCGGCGGTGTGTTCGTGTCTCGCTCGGTGAGGCGGTTCAGTGATTGCTGGGATCAAAATCTTTCAGCAGAGATCGATACGAATGTTTGGCAACACGGCTTAGCAAGCTTAGGCGGAACCTTGGTTTTGAACAACAAGAAGCTTACCCCCTGCAGTCCAGCCGGCAATCCCGTTACCGGTTGAGGCGGGGAAGCCAGATGTGGTTGATGAGGTGCCAAGGTCCCCTTCGCAAGTTTCTGCGAGTGATCCTGTGTCGAGTTCGCCATCCGGATCGATGTCCATTGATTTTCCTGAAGGTGTCCCTGATCTTCAAGTACCAGCACCTGCTGAGAATGCAACCGAGGCAGCTCAGACAATG